TTTCTCCTCTTCTTTTTTGAAGCTGTGTTTCTTTTTGCTATTTTCCCGTCTCAACTGTTTTTTTTTTTCCCCCTTAGTGAGTTGTGTTTATGTTCAAAAACATGTCGGCCTCTTTCCAGCTGAGTGTGTGTGAGACTGTGAGCTGCAGACTTTAGGAAAACACGACGACGGCGTCTCTGACGTCATCCATATGTTTATAAAGGGACGTATTTAGTGCTGGATTTGAAATCAGTCACTCGTCACCATCTTGTTACTTGATGTAGAAAATCCAAATTTTGGTGAAAGCTGCAGTCAGACGATACAGCGGCAACAGCACTGCAGAGTGTGATCGGCTGAGACTGTATATTAAGATGGACGACATGATGGTTGCCCCATAGTGAAGCCAGTGGCTCTCAATCTTTATCTGGTGGCTGGCTGCAGTAACATCATAAACCCTGGCTCCTCCATGTTTGTGAATGGGACATGGGCCAATCTATCAACATACATTTTTCCCAAAGAAAAAAGGTTCTTATAACACTGATGTTCATTCAGTTGTCCCTGTAAAACCCACCTACTTAATAACAGCCCACAAATGTACCTAATTTTCTGCAAATGTAATAGCTATTATATTTGCATTGTTTTGTGGATTGTTAATGTATCTCGTAATAACTTACATTTAAAGGAAATTACATATTATATTTGTAGTAGGCGCTGCTATTATGTTTGAGGGATTATTACATTGAAAGCTTCAGATTTGTATTATGTTGGTGGGTGTTATTGTCCCTGCGGAATTTCCTTTTTGCCTTTAACACTTTTCCATCCAGCTTCTCAACAAAACCTACATCATCATGGTCGGACAGATATTTTGAATATTTCTTACTGCAAGTCCATGCAAAGCCTTTTTTGTTGAAACCCAAATTTCTTTTGTTTTGCGTATTGGAACCTTTTACAGTGCATTAGTGCCGCTGTTACCGGCCTCACAGCTGCCATCTAGTAGAACTTCAAAAGGCACTTTTCTCTGCCTTCGCCTTGTTGCAAAAATCCATAGTGGTTTACTTTTGCTCCCAGCATGCATTAACTTTGTGTGTTGGCGTACGAACAACCGCCTGCCAACATACTGTAAATGCATGTATGCAGCACTTTAGGAGCAGGGTTGTTCTTGTAATGATTTTCAGCTGTAGTCACACTGGAATTTTGGTTCTGCAGCTGCATTAGTGGCCAAAAATCCCTATCGTCTCATACTTCTTTGCATGTTTCACGCTGCAAATAGCCAATTAAAGAAACTCATCAGGCGTCTTCTTGCACTAAGAGTCACCATCACCCCCCACCCCTCCCACCCTGACACACGTGTCACCCTCTGTTGAGTCCTGATGGCTTCCAGCACCAACCCCCCCACCTCTCCTCCCCTGAAAGCTTTATTGGTATATTTGGGCGTTTTTACTCATTGCTCTGTCCAGTGTCTGAACTCCATTTAGAGAAAATGGTGCATGTCAGTAGGAGAGAGGAGGGAGGGGGGGCTGAAGATGAAGAGATAGACAGGGAGTTATAGGAAGATTGAGAGTCAGGGGGTGGGAGAAACAGAGAGTGAGAGAGATAGAGATAAAGAGAGCCACAAGGTACCAGTCACCATCAAGACCTGTCATAAGCAAAACACACTAGGGGGCTCTGAAATATGAAATATATATATATATATATTCATACATAGAAATGCACAAATACAATCAACGTGCATGGATCGAGACAGCATACCTGTTAGCATATATAAGCAGGCACTTACACACATTCAAACACACACACACACACACATAGACACACACTTACACACATATTATGCAAACAAAATCCACCCATACACATTTTGCCGGCAGGGTAGGAAGCAAACACAGTTATGCACAGCATATAGCACCAGTACTAATGGGATGAAACAAGTATCCAGACTCGTTTAGGATTATTCATACACATGGCTCAGCACACACACACGCACACACACACATACACACACACACACACACACACACACACACACACACACACACACACATACACACACATACACACACACACACACACGCTGTGTCCCTGACACACACAAACTGAACCAAGGATTCCACCTGCCTCTGCTGCACACACAAATATCCAGGGGACACCACACTGTGAAACACATTATTCACAGCTCACACGTACACCTGCAGGGAACATGAGCACATGCACACACAGGCTAACACATGCACACACACTAACAAACACACACAGACCAGGATGATGGCTGTCGTTGTTCAGAGATCCATACCACAATCCTCACCATCCTCGTTTCAGTCCTCAGTCATCAGTATTTGCTAGATTAGCTGATGGAAAATGCTAGACACTCATTAAGCGAGGGGAGGGAAGGTTTCAGTTTTCTCTGGCTCTATTCATTCGTTTCATGTTTGACCTGCTCGCCTGCAGAGTGTGCTGGAAGAACTACTGGAATTTGGTAGTCATGGAAAAATCCAAAATACTGTACACTGCAATTAGATTTTTTTCCAAACGTGATGGGGAAAAATCCACCCAGAATTCACTTCATACAACCAGAGTGACGTGCATGAGTTTAGCATAAAATTTTGTCGCCATGGATTTTTAAACACGGCTCAAGAAAACTGTTTGATGAGAACTGGAACAGTGGACCGTGTGTAACATTGAAGTACAGGTCTCTATTTTGACTACACACCATCCGACACCAGCAACGAACATTCAATTTATGCATTTAGTATTTTAAAAAATCTGTCACATGGATAGAGATGACTTATTCCTTTGTATTTTTGACCCTTTACATGATCATACCTGCAGCTGCAGCCTGTTCAAACTGCATACGATTTTAATTCCTTCATAATTATCCTGTTTACTTGGTAAGACAGGGAAATGCTCCTTTTCTTGATGAGCTGGAAGAAAGTGAGGACACACGGTTCCCCTGGGTCTTTAAATGAGGATGCAGGGAGAACATTTTGTGTTTGTGCTCTTTCTTTGTGCTCCTCTTCTATTGAGTTGTATCTTCACTTCCACCCTCGCTCCGTGTGCTCTGTGTTGAGAGGGAAAATACTACACAGATGGGCGAAGTGCATTTCAAGGTCAGGAAAACACAAACGCATGATGGAGTCTAGTGATGGGAACTTTGGCTCTGTAACGAGAGCCTGATCTTATGGCTCCAGTCCTTAGAGACGTTGGACAGATCTCCAGCCTGCCCTCTTGTAAGAACTCTGTAGAATATACGAATGAGCTTATGTGCAAACACAGCTGGAGAATATCTGGAGGATTAACCACCAGCGAGTGGGCTCATGATGTTTCTGACATGCAACGGACACAAAACTGAAAAACATTTCAGGATAAAAAGAGGTGCCATACACACACAGAGACGTCAAGTTTAAAAGGACGAGAATCATTCGTGTTGTCACTCCTCACGTGAAAGCAGGAGGGTTGACGTCGGGCAGTGAAAATTGGGCACAATTATAAAAGTAGCAGTTCAAGTAGCCTACGACTCGTTCCCCTTGTTCTCACCAAAGAGCCATTTAAAAGAATCAGATCATTTGCGAACGGCACGTTACAAAATCGAGTCTATCATGTCCTGTAACCGCGCAGCTTCTTGATGTAATTAGGCTGTAATTGTTTGAGAAATATGTGCACAGTGGATTGTTTCTTTAAACGTCTACAATTCTCTTAATTGTCTTGCTCTCATTAGCAGCATGTCCCAGCAGGATGAGGGCTAATCTGTTAACCAGCCGTTTCATGTTAAAATAAATTAGCCACAGCAACATCAAGCACGCGACGACTTGACCCCACAATCAGTTACTCAGCTGAGTAAAGCAGAGAAAAGGAACCCTATCCACCCACTGCTGCTAATACCCAATCAGCTCATGTGCATAGCCACAAAATAGATGCTAATAAGTCGCAATGGCAGAGCCCAGGAGGCTGATGGTGGAGCTTGACACACGGCGACGCACTAACAATACAGTCATTTAAAGTGTGGTCAGTGAGGTCGCTGCTTATCAGAGAAAGCAGAGAGGCTCCGAAGGCACAGAAACACCCACATACTGTACAGGCACACATGCAGCCTGTCTCACTGCCTCCCTCTCTCCCTTCAACACGTACGCTCCAATTATGGAGAGAGGACGAGGCCTGGGCCCTGTGCTCCCAGCGACCTTGCTCTAGGACAGATTGATGAGGCGCTGTATCACCCCAGCAGATCAAATAACTCCTTCCTGGCCCTCATTACCAGGACTAGAGGGAGATCTGACAGTGCTCGGCTGTGCCGTGTGTAGCACGCTAACGTACAAACTGATACCAGGCTGTTATTTTTCACCCATGAATAAGTAAGGACAGAGGTTATTGACCCTCTTTATCAAATATTCCAAGTGTTTCCATCTGCTGGAACGGTCACCGTTGTGTGAAGGATGCAGATAATCATTGGACAAGTTGCTGCTGCGCGATGTTTGTTGTTCTTTCTACTTTCCCTTAAATGGTAATTTGGCAAATGAAGAGAAGATATGGAATCATTCAGTCTTGATCGTTTTCTGGCAAAGATGATGTGCTTGGTTTCTTTTTTAAATTGGTTACTGATTTTCTTCAGACTTCTTCATACATTGTGTTTTTGGGTGTCCGTCCTATTATTTTGAACACCTTGAAGAAACTTCTTAACAAAACAAATTTTTTTTGGTCTTGTGAACTCATTTTCTTACGAATGCCTCCAGAGAACCCGTGTTTTTGTCCTCTTTAATATTTCCCAAGTCCACTGATAGCGAGTTTCCTCAGATTTTGATCAGACTCAGAGATGAACTGATCACATTACACTAGGTAAAGGTCAAAAGACTGAAACTGACAGAAACTGCCCTGGTCGACAGAAGCATACAACCACAACAGCAATTCAAGTTTTTAATTCATGTCTTTTTTGCTCCTTTGCTTTAAATGTTAAGTCAGTTCTCCTCAAACTCTGACAGTTAATGTAATCTCACTTAAATTTTTGACTCGTCATTCTCATCTGTATTCCACAGTTCCGCCCCAGTTCGTCAAGCGGCCGACCAACATTTATGCCCACGAGTCCATGGACATCGTGTTTGAGTGCGAAGTCTCGGGGTCACCAGCTCCCACTGTCAAGTGGGTCAAGAATGGAGATGCTGTCATCCCCAGTGATTACTTTCAAATAGTTGTAAGTTCTCGACACCACATTGTATTTGCATGATTTTGCATCATCACATTGTCAAGACTTTGAGATTGGTTAGAAGTTCTAGTTGTAACCTATTTTTATTTCTGTAGAAGGAGCACAACCTGCAGGTTCTGGGTCTGGTCAAGTCTGATGAGGGGTTTTACCAGTGCCTTGCAGAAAACGATGTCGGCAACATCCAGTCCAGCGCCCAGCTCATCATCTTGGATCACGGTACGCCACTCTCCATAACCACCTATAGTATAGTGTGCAAATCTGATGTTTTAGTTGACTAGATCAGTTCAAGTCATACATGAAAAAATGACAAAAAACACAAATTTGATAAGGAACAAACCGCCTCAGACATCAGCTGTACATCTTATAAAGCACAAAAGCAGAAGTTGAGAAATGTTAAAGAAAAAATATATTAAAGATAAAGAAAAAATGATTGAATGTTAGACGCTGAGCCTGTGGCTCAGAAACTTCCAGTGCCCTGTTTGGCCTCTTTAGAAAGAGCAATGAAGGAGGAAATGATCGATGGGTGTGTCTCCAGCTTTCTATACAGTTTGTCTTATTTGGAAACACCGAAACAAATCCTGGAGGCTGTGCACGTCCGTGAAGGTGTGAGGAGAGAGTGAGGGTGTGTAGTGAACAGTGAAATGAAACCGCTGGGATCACGTTAGACCAGAGGTGACTCAAAGGGAACAGAAGTTTGCTGTATCTGGGGCGAGCGACGCTCCGTCCATTCCACATCCCGTCTCATAGAAATGCTGTTAGAAAAGCCTGCCCTTTGATGCAGCATCTTTAGAAAAGCAAAGGCCTCCTTTTAGCAGGGAGCTTTACCTAAACAAGAGCCCTTAGACCAGGGAAGTTAAAGAGTCTCTCTCGCTGTACATTTTCCTTTTAAGTGGAAGGAAGGTTTTCAAAGCTAACTCGCAGAGAGGAGCTGCTGGGTGCAGAGAATGACAAAAGCAGACGCCAAGGACAGTGGCGAGAAGACTAGAGGTGTCTGGAATGAGAGGCAAATGTAAAATAATCATAATAACAATAATAATTGAACATCTTCGTACTTGGGGTAGTTTTGTTTCATTACCTCTGACCATTAGAGAAATTGTAACATAACTTAGATTTGAAATAATTTGCATAATAATCAGAGTCTAACCTGCAGGGCTGAAATAAAAAAACCTCTCTGCAAAACAATAACAGCAAACTACAAGAAATTCACGATAATATACAAGACAATTTCACTAAAAAGCAATAATCAAAATAAATTCAGAAGGTGGAAAAGTGGAGGAACAATAAACCGGCAAGTGGAGTGAAGGCAAAACATTGCTCCTGCAGCAGAAATCAGCGTTTCTGTGTCTAGAAATCATCATCGCCATTAACTGTTGACTCAAACTGTTTCGCTGAGAAAGATGGGAAACTGTAATCAGGCGTGAACTCCCCCTTCACTTGAAGCAGGTGGCTAATGGATTAGCATAGCAGTGTCCAACCGGTGGGCCCCCAAGCTGTGCCGCCCCCTCCGATGGGACGTTAAGTCCAAAATAATGACAACCTGCAGCTCATTGTGTATTTGTGTTTGACACCAGCGATAAGGGTGTTGCCACTTTTCATGCCCCCAAGTTCCTTTTCTTTCTTTGTTTGAGTTGAAGATAAATGGGATGAATTTACCGACACAGCTGCCCTTGCACGTGGGGTTCGCCCTGAGCAGAGCTTTGAAGAAATTAATCTCTGTTTAATCCATAAATATTACAGAGGATCTTTTTTTGCTTTGTTACGTCTCTGAGTGCGTACATCTGCCGTGGTCACGCTGATTCTCGTTCAAGCACACGAGCCTCCACCAGCTCTGTTCTCCAGTTTCCTGTTTGTGTATTATCCGCTCTTCAGTCTGAGTCTCAGATGGTGAATGGAGAGAATAACCGAAGTCCCCGTGACACTCTTTATTCTTCCTGTAAATTATTGACGTTCTGTGCTTATATAGACACATCCACAAACGCTCGCTTCACTGCGTCAAAGTAATTTCCTCTCTCAAAGGTGCAATTTGTGACTCCAAATGGTGAATCGATGAGAATGTGTTTGAAATCAGCTCATTTTCCACGGCTATTTGTGTTTTGTGGGAGCGGCTCAGTGATGTGAGGTTGATATGAATCTCTTTAAGTTCTAGTGGAACAGCATCTCTTTCCTTCCATGGCATGGTGTCTGCTGGTGCTAACAGGGAGGCACACGGACACGGGAAATGTCGCAGTTCGCTCGTCTCCTGCACACGTACGCAGCTGTATCATTGTTAAAATGCAGAACTGAACTGAACAACAGATGTAAGCAAAGGCAGCAGGCTCAGCAAGGCTTGTAACTGATTCTCCATGTTGTGTTCTGCACTGTTGGCCGACGTTAATGCTGGTTGATTTCTTCCAAAGGGGGGGGGTCATGTGATAGTAGCCTGACGAATCGGTGAAGGCCACGTCATGACTGAAAAGACCCAACCAGCAAGAAAAAGCTGCTGCAAAAGTCCAGACTCGTGTGCACACCAGGAGTATCCATAGTATGGATGCAGCGCTACATCCATCTGCCACTGTTCTCCCCTTGTCTTTCTCAGACACCTGCCTCCTGTGATAATCCAGCACACTGGGCTTTGTGTTAATTGTGCTGGCCTGAGTCCCCCCCCCACCCTGTATGACCACCCTCCCTCTCAGCTGGGCATCTTTGTCCACTTTCCACAGACACTCCTCTTGCTCTGTGCTGCCCCTGTGTGTTTTACCTCAGTCGAGTGTCCTGCACACACCTGCCAGGCTCCAATCCTTCCTGAAACGGGGCCAGGAAAACACGCAGTCTGTCGGTCGGCTGCTTGCAGTCGGGGGCGAGATAAGCCGGGGACTTGCCACAGGGATAAAGTTGTCTTCACCCAACAGGGAAATCAATGGGGGCGAGCTGCTTCTAAACACCCAGCGGCTGCGACTGGGCTAATATTCATTAGCGGTCATAATCTTTGCATCTTGACGCTGCCAGCTGCGGTTAAATGCAGCTCCATGATGATTCCTGCAGAGGCTGTGTGGACTGGAAAAGGGTCAGCTGTTAGCATGTAGAGCATTACAGTACTGTACTCCGGCTGTTATTTATAGTGATAGGTGCTCTGTATCAACACGCTTGGCTTTGAACTGGAGTCGTTGACGATGAGTTTTCACTCGAACAACATTTGTAAAACTTTCCCAGCACAGTTTATCTTGATTTAGCCATTTTTGACCCTTGAAAGCTGCAGTCTGCAACAATTTTCCTGGACATTCCACAGCAATGTGCAATATGGGTCAGCTAGTTGCAAACAGATGTGCGGAAAAAAGGAGCAGAATGCTAGAAAGTGGTCCTCAAGGGGCGGGGGGACGACATAAGTATGCAGTGTAACGCAGGACAAGCAGTGCCCCCTTGTAAACCTGCCACATTAGGAGCTGTCGCAGGTTTGTGCCAGTTGTGCTTGAGTTTCTGTTGTAAGTCACTACTTGTTGTCAGAGAGATCGACGGCGACAAGACATCTGAGAGTTACAGCGATGCAGAGGCCGGAATCGATAAAATGACTGGTCTCATCTGGAGATGTGCTCATTAACAAGTTTGACGGAATAGTTCCTGAGGTTTTCCTCACATCCCCAGCAGACCGGCCTGGCCTCTCGTCACTAAACTATAAATACAATCACTGGTGGCTGGTGTTAGTGATTCACTGCCGGCTGTCTGTCCACCTGCACACCTCACTGTCACAGTGACCATGAGGGCGGGTCGTGGATGTGCTGTTTATAGGATTATTGTCACGTGTCATCCGTAGACAGTGTAGCAACAACTTGCCTTGGCCTTTTCCAGGCAGATGATTATGTGAAATGCTCATGCATGAAACAGCAGTAGGCGGCAATTACAGCCCGGAGAGGAAATGGGCCACGTCTTTCAACTTTGAAGTCGTACACGCCTAGACAAAGCACTTGTTTACATGATTGTCATCTTTCCATGTGCTTTAAAAAGACTGCGGCACCGTTTGAAGCTCGATAAGGTGGCGCACTAAAGTGTATATCCAAGTTTTACAGTGCGGTTCCCTTTCCTGCAGTTCCTAAAGATCGAGGGCAGAGCCGAGACAAATATTTAGTTCTCAGCATAACTGCGGAGTGGAGAGCTGCACAATGTTGCACCCACGTGTGAGAGACAGACATTCATCACTGCAAAGAAAAGGCTCTCCACCTTTTTGTTTTTCCATTTGTACAATCAAAAAATCCATGGCTACATACCAGCCTGGAAACTATTACTTAATACCCACTTGTCAAAAATTCAAGCACCTGAAAGCTTAATATGAAAAATTCAAACAGATCTGCATTTGACATTGGCAAATAAAAGGGGATGCACTTCACTGTGCCTTTTTGCTTTTTATGTTTGCATACATTGTCAGAGATGCACTTTCATTTGCATGTGAATTCTTACTCTTGCTCCCTCCGTATGCTGTGATGGTAACTCGATATGGAAATACTCCTCTGTCTGAGGTTTGTCTGTCCCTCTCTCCGCCTCCTCTTCTCTTCATGCCCACAGCTCACGTAAATACTGGTTGGACATTTTGCCTCCTTGTGCCCAAGCCAAGTACTTCACTAGAAAGCTTCAAAGCTTGTTTGGATGTACAAGGTCTGAGCTCTCATGCTGTTTTACTCACAACTGCTGAAAAGTGAATCTCGTTGACATGAAAGAGAGGGAGGCATTTCACGAAATACCAGAGTTTTCTCACCTGAAAGTCTGAACCAAGGTTGATGTCTTTGTCACATTGTAAACGTTAGATCTGGTTAGTTTTGTTTTTACATGTCCTGTCAGTCCGTACTCATCACCTGCGTGGGCTGCGTCCACCTGTACTTGACATCGATTGCTTTCTGGACAGGTGTGGATATTGAATTGTCTTTGCTTTGTCTTTTGAATTGCATTGAAAAAAGAAGCCTTTCCATTCACAAACATTCTATTGTCAGAGGAGAAGACAGGAATCAATCCTGACAGCTGCTTCCACTTCTTTTTTACGCGTCAATTGTTTTATTTTCTCTTGACTTCCTGAAACTCTTCCAGAAGTCCAAAATATTCAAATCCAAACCATTTTGCAGTTTGATCCGGATCAATTCCACCTCTTTTGGTCGGACTAAACGTCGCTGTGTTGGTCTCGACCGTCGTCCGAGGCACCTCACGCCTCAGGCCCTCCTCTTCAGTCTCCTCTCTCTCCTTCTTCACATTCTCTC